AATCTTTTCAACTCTTTGCTCTTTCTTTCTCAATCTGTAGCTGTGTAGCTGCTGGTTGTAACCTTAATCTCGCAGGCCAAACCTTCCACCACCTCTCCTTCTATCATTTTGTGTCCTTTCTTCTTCTACTATCGGTGATACAAATCCTCTACAAAAATCATATGAAATCACAAACATAAAAAACTATGTGCCATTGATCCTCGATTTTTTTAACGAATTAAATTATGATGCATGGCGAGAATTATTTGAAACTCATTGCCACAGGTTTGGCATCATTGCCTTTCTCAACGGCTTATCAACACCCAAAGTGAAATCGACGAAGAATGGTACAAACTCAACAGCTCATCTCTCATTTAGTTTGGAAAAATCCTTGAAGCTTTATTTTGTGATAATAAAGATGTACATGCAATCAGGGGCGGAACACAAACATGAACATTCATGGGCAACATAGTTATACATATATATTATAAATAACTTTAAATTAGACGATATGTTTGAACAATTTGCTTACAAGGCTTTTATTTACATACAATACTCATAAATCATACTACATGTATAAAATGACCAATTCAGAAAACTAATCAAATTAACAAAACAATTACATCATGAAATAGTTAGTAAAAAACAAAAAACAAAAAAAAAGTAGATAAACATAACAATTTACTCACAAAATATATAAACAGGGATAAAAATCAAAAACTTTTTAAGGTTCTATACATTAAGACAAAATTGCAAATTTGGTCCCTGTGGTATGTCCAAACTAGCATGTTTGGTCCAAAATGGGTTTGGCTTGCAAAGATGGTCCAATAGTTTCTATTTGTTGCGAGTTTAGTCCAATGGCTTAACAGCCGTTACCAAGCTCCCGTTAATTTACTCATGCCCCTCTCACTTAAGGGTATTTTAGTCCATTCATCTAGCTCCTTTATTATTTTATTATTATTTAGTCCATCAAGAGACTACAACGTCTCTATTCTCGTCTCCAGCAACAAGCCCTAACTATCACTCCCTCTCTGATTTCATCTTCTCCATCGATCACCCCCCTGTGATTTCATCTTCTCCATCGACAATGGTGATGTGCGTCTGCAGAAAGTGGGCGATAGTTCGGACATCGTGGACAGATAACAACCCAGGGCGCCGATTTTGGGGATGTCCTGACCCGGTAAGTGTGTTAAACTTTATTTTGAAGACTACTCCCTGATGATCTAATGTTTCTTTCTTCTTTTTTTCAAGAATTCATCATGTGGGTTTATTGGGTGGTATGATGAACCCATGTGTGCTCGTTCCAAAGTTATAATACCAGGGCTGCTTAGGACAATCAATAAGCTACGAAAAGCAATGGATGATATAAAAGAACAAGCAAGCAAGCATGAAAAAGCAATGGAGAAGATCAAAGAACAAGCAACTATGTTGAAGTATTACCTAGTCTATAGTTGGATTTTTTTTGTTGTTGTGTTGTTGTTCTTGTTGTAAGTCCACAGGTTGATTGTGGTTATCTTTTGTAATAGGATAGGGGTATATGTGTCTGGTTTAAGTATTTTTTTGCTAATGTGGAACATTGTTGTAATGCAAAGTAATGGTTAATGAAAATTTGGTATCTATTGACCAATTATGGATTTGTTCTATTGTTCATACATAACCTTCTAAAGATAACATATAATGCATCCATATGTAGTTAACACAAAAGCATACTAAAGACATAATACCTATTACCATCTTCAAAATACATGTCATAAGTTAATTGAAAACAAAGTTATTGCAACAAAAGACATCCTGCATCTAGGAATCAAACCAAAGTTGTTCAATACAGTCAAACCAAAAGATAAAACCAACATAGACCATCAAGTCCCTCCCTGACCTTTGCATGTCCTGGAGTTGTGCCCTTTGTTTCCACACTTACTACAAGTCACACTAACAAACTTTCTTGTTAGTTTCCCACTACCATGTGGACCATGACCATGAATCTCACTGGGACCAACATCTGACCTTTGACTCTGACTTTGACTCTTGCTTTGACTTTTCTCCTCCATGGATTGCCTTCTCTTCCTCTTGGGTCTCCCAGGTTGATTACGGTGTGGGGGAGGTGTGATCTGCATTGGACACTCACTTCTAGGCCACAGTGCCCGACCTTTAATTGGTTCCACCTTGTACCCATATGCAGTTTTCCAAGTTTGTAGCCAGTGCACCTTGTGGACATAAGTATGGAGCTCTTGTACACACTCACCATGATCTGCTTTGTTATACAACACAGAAATCACATGTCTGCAAGGGATACCTGTTAATTCCCATTTCCTGCAGCTGCATACCCTTTCATGCATATCAACAACATGTTGATCATTCCATGGGCCTTTGACTTGGTATTTTTCATCACCACACCATTCTGCAATGTACTGAGTAGCAGCTGCTTCATTCTTCTCCATGATCTTTGTTGTTGTTGGGGTGAGTGGGCCTAAACACTTTTGTTGCACCTTGAGGACATTGCATATCCTCTTCATCATATATTCCCTAATAAACTCCAAGCAGCTAATAATTGGTTTGTCTCTCCCATCAACTAGCTTGCCATTAAACACCTCACAAAGGTTGTTTAACAGCATGTCTGTGGTTGCTCTCCCTGTATAGAAAAGGGTAAAAGTGTCATAATGTTATGTGAAGGGTAAAATGGTAAAAGGGTAAAAGGGTCATAATAGCTTACCTGTGAAATGGCTTTTTGCCCAATGTTGTGGTGGTATTGACTTCAACCATTCATATGCTGATTTGTCATATAAACTGAATTGGTGCATGAAATGGTTAAACTCTGGCACTGTTGTAGCTGTGGCACAATCCCAAAGGTGATCTTTATATTCCTTAGTTCTCCATTGTTTCTTCATGTTCTCATGTATATGTCTGAGACAGAACCTATGCTCAGCACATGGGAACAGTTGACTAACTGCTTGTAGCAAACCCTGGCAACAAATTACACATGATTAACAAAATAAACATTAAAAATAATAAATAAACAACCATTACCTTTTGTCTGTCACTAACAAAAGTGAAATTAGACATAGCATGTAGATCCAAGTCATCACCAAGACATTCAAGGAACCACTTCCAAGATTCGCAGTTTTCAATCTCTACGATGGCATATGCAAGTGGGTATATGCCATTGTTGGAATCTAATCCAACTGCAGTTAAGATCTGTCCTGGATAAGGGCCTTTCATATGAGCCCCATCTAGCCCCAAGAAATCTCTTAAACAAGCTTTAAATCCCTTCTTCATCCCCCTTAGACAAACATAAATTCTTTTGAAACATCTTGAAGTGCAATTCACCAAATTAGATTCTGAAACATCTCCAAGTTCTAATTTGACTGTGGTATCAGGATTGGTTGACTGCAACTCAAGGATATAGTCTCTCAGAACTTCATACTGTTTTTTGTAATCACCCACTACAATCTTTTTTGCATCTGCTTTAGCTCTAAAAACTTTATGGATTGAGAAGCCCACTCCATACTTCTTCTGTAATTGTTCTTGGAGAGCTTTAACTAGGATAGTAGGGTTGGATTCTACTTGATCCATGATTTGTTTGGACATAAACTTCGCTGTTGCAGCTCTCACCTTCCTTGTATTCATACAAGTGTGTTTGTCTTCATATGTTTTAATGTACCAGCTGCTTGCATCTGTAGACCTCGAGGCATGTAACATCCAAGGACAAGAAGAATCTGCTTTTTCCTGACTTGTACCACCTTGTTTGTCCTTTTCTTTACTTTTCCCTTTACTTTTCCCTTTAATTTTCCCTTTACTTTTTTCAGCTTGGGTAGGTCCACCAACTCCATCATTAGTAAATGCCACAACTCCATTACATATGGCCCTCAATCTGGATTTGTCATTTTTTTTAAATGCAATATTCTTTTTTGTTTCCAATGCATGCATTTTGATTTTCTCTTTCAACTCCTGCTTACTGTTATACTTTTGACCTATTTTAAAATGACACTTATGAACCTCACCTAAAGAACAACTTTTTTCCTTACTTAGTTGTTTCAAAACTGCTCTTCTCTTCCTGTCCTGGTCAGAATCCTCATCCATGGAATCAAAAGCATCATTGTCAATGACATCTAACTCATCTGCTTCTTCATCACTCTCATGTTGTCTAGGATTCCTAGCCCTTTTATCTAAGAACTCTACTTCTGTATCAATGCTCATGTTAAAATCCCTCATATCAACTTCAATATCTTCAATTACATTATCTTCATCCACCCAATAATCACTATCATCACTATCATCTTCCTGCTCTGTTTCACTTCTTTCTTTACTTTCAACCTCACTTACATTTTCTTTTCCACTACTATCCATGTTAGACTGAGGTTGGTTTTCACTTCCATCTTGGACAAAAGCATCAGTTTGATAGTCAAAATCCCAAAAGTCATTCATTTGAGGTTGGTTTTCTTCATCCATCTGAGCTTGGTTTTCTTCATCCATTTGAGGTTGGATTTCTTCATCCATCTGAGGTTCATTGACATCATGCATGTCAGTGCCATTGACTCCATCAACATTGCTTTGTAGTATTTGTTGGTAGAGTCCAATATCAAAATCAGTAGCTGCCTCAACAAAGTCTTTGGCTATCTGTTCAGTCTCACCAATATCATCAAAGTATATTTTCTTACTGCAAGATGCCATCACTCCATCCTTGCTCATACCCCTTCTCCTATTATATCCAGGTGATAAGGATACGACTTGAACTATTTCATTAACTTGGATTTCAGGTTGGTTTGCTTGAGTGGGCACCACATCAACTAAATTATCAGTAGGTGTAGTCATCACAGGTGTTTCCTTTGATTGGTCATCAGGAGCTTCATCAATGTGTTGCACATCCTCATGTGGTTCATCTAACTGTACAAGGGTAACCTTGGTAACAGGCTTAGGATTCAAGAAATAGGTGAGTAGTCTTGTTTCACCATGCTCTGTGTATACCTTCATCACTTTGTGCTCACTGACATATTGAGAAAAGTTTGCAACATCTTGATCATTTCCTAAAGGGCGAAGACCAAAGTGGAAGTCTCCACCAGCACAAGAAAATGGTAGTATATAACAGGAGGAACCCCATATCTAAAACCCTTCATGATTGCATCGAGCTCATGAACTGAAAACTCATCTATGTCTACCATGTCAACATAGTTTACAGTTCCATCAATGTAACGAACATCAGGGTACTTGGTGAACTCACCTCCATGGTACAACTTAATGGTAAACAATGTTGGGTGTCCATCTTCAAAACAAGAAAAAAAAACACCTCAGTTGGACTTACTTAAAAAAAATCAAGAAATCAAAAGATGAAAAAGGGCAAATTACGTACCATAAACAACCTTGGGGTTGAAGGGTGTGTTTAACAACCTTACGTGCCACATTGTTATGTTCATCCACCGATAATCTCTACAAATCGCAGCTTAACTAACAGAACTGATTTTGTGTCTAGGGCTTTTATTGATCTTGGTAAAGAACGACGGTCTACTTTATTGAGGAGGAGACGAACTGCTTTTATTGAGCTTTAGCGGGAACGGTTACAGGGATAAATGGACTAAAATACCCTTAAGTGAGAGGGGCATGGGTAAATTAACGGGAGCTTGGTAACGGCTGTTAAGCCATTGGACTAAACCTGCAACAAATAGAAACTATTGGACCATCTTTGCAAGCCAAACCCATTTTGGACCAAACATGCTAGTTTGGACATACCACAGGGACCAAATTTGCAATTTTGTCTACATTAAAGTATCTATGATACAATTGACATATATCATCTCTAATAAATGAATGTTTTTTTTATCATTTGTCACACTCTCATTTAATTTGTTAAATGTCATTTTGTGGTTATTTTGAATTAATTTTTTTTCTACATGTAATTTTATGGGTTTTCTATTTTATTAAATTCTACATAATATTTTAATGTAATAATTGTAATAAATGTAACAATAAATAGATATTAATAAACTTACATTTTAATTTCAAAATCCCCAAAGTTAAAGCTCATTAGTTTTTTTTCTTTATTTAAATTATTTGTTTTAATTTAAAAGATTAAAAAAAACATAATTTCCATTATAATAATTCATTATTTTTCTTATTTTCTTATAAATTCAAAGTTCTCAAATATTTTGATATTTATATTTAACAGTTTTATTAAATTAACTCATGTAATACATGGGTCTCACAACTAGTTAAGTATTAACAAATATTTACTTTATGAACTTCCCATATTGTATCTCATTTACTTTATTGTATTGTCATATCTACTTTATCAGACATGGGATATTGTGTCATATACTCATAGTATTTATCCTATCTCCGTCTTATTACAAATTAACAAGCAGTCAAAAGAAATAAGATTAAGCAATGTGAGAGAGAGTACAACAGGTTGAAAAAAACAGAGAGCTTGAAACGGCAAAACCTAGTAAGTGGCAGTGGGCGTGAGTCAAAGGCGGTGACCAGAGTCAAGGACGACAGTCAACATTAACCGGTGGTGTTTTGAAGATTGTGACGGGAGACGATGTACCGTAGATCAAGGGAGAAGCTGTGAACGGCGTGAAGTTCTATATCGGTTAGGGTTTTTAAAATTCTTGAGTTTTGGAGATTATTTATCTTAAAGTATTGTAGTAGCTAGGTACTGATAATGTGTAAGATTTGTGGATTTTCTTAGATTAAAATATTTGTGATTTTTTGATGTTAAAATAGAGATTAATATTGATTAGGATTTGTTACATTTTGATTATTAAAAAAAATTGGGTTTTTTCTAACGCAAAAGGTCTTTCAGTTTTATTTATTTTCTGGTGCTGCTAAATCAAGAGGTGGTTTTCTTATATGAAATAGGTAAATAAAGATAATTACCATCTTTAATGATCTTCAAATGCATTTTAAAGATTTTTCTATATTTTACTGGTATAGGAAAGGAAAAAAATGGGGGGGGGGGGGGGGGCATGGCCTTCCCTGGCCCCTTAAAGGATCTGTCACTATATGCAATTGAGTTAAACAATGAACTCTGCAGTATGGCTCTCAACAATCTTTCAATCTCCCAATATTGTCAAAAAAAATCCATCTCCAATCATTTGGTCAATATTGAGTCTCTCATTCTTGAGAAAAAACTTTATCGCATATCTCACCAATGGTTTATCAGCACAATACGAGCACATTGCCACCATTCTCCACCACTCGGACCCTCTTCCAACATTCCTCCAATCATGCTCCATGCTTCTAGTGGCATAGAAATGGCTCACTCGCACTCGCCCTCAACAACCGACTCATAGAGACCATGTCTCATCACCAACGGTTCTTCATACCGAAAATTCTAGTGGTTCTAATTTTGAAAACTCGCGGTCAAATCCCACTCACAAATTAGAACCGCCGTAGATGCGATCTTCGGTTAAATCATAATCGTCGTGGCAATCAAGTTCCTCACCAACGTCGAGATGTCGAGCAACATTCACAAACACTTCCTTGGCATCCCTTCACATTGCCTTGGCAGCCTTACTGGTCTACAAGGTCCACTTACAGGCCATATCTATGGCCCAACATCAAGGAAGACATCAGGTATGTATTCTTCTCCCATCCTCACGTACGTCACCCTCGTCGGCCCAGCCCGCCCAACCCACTGACAACAATGTTCAACACCATATCTTTGTCTTTGGTTCTCACCTTACCTTGGCAATGGTTTTCTTATGTTTCCATATTAGCTGACTAACATATTTCAAGCATACAATTCCATGTCTCTTAATGAAAAATTATGATACAATTAGTACATAGACATCCAAACCACATCTCACCTAACCTTCAATATAGGTATAAACATTCAAATAGTCAACAAAAGGTTGGAAACCCTAGAAATCCCGGTTAAGTCCATTATGGACTAGATTCTTATTGGGCCTAATGGAACAATAAACTTCCAACTTGACTTTTTTGGGCCTAGAACCCTTAAATAGGCTTTAATTGGACCCACTTTCATAAAATTTAACATTTTGGGCCATAGTGGGCCTAAAATGAAATAAATTACCCTAAATGGGCCTTATTGGGCCATAACAAATCCAATTAGCTTTAACGGGTCATAAATCCATACTTTTATACAAGATTGGGCCGTAAGCTACCCTAAGGGCCCAATGGGCCGAAAAACATCAATTTGGGCTTCACATTATGGGACTCAAGCACTAAAGGCCCAAATCCTTTCTCCTCTCTCTCCCTCTCGGCCCAAATAATATAAAAAATAAATAAATAAATAAATAAAGAGAGAAAAGAAGTATTATGGGGAGAATTAATTAGGAAGTGTCACCTCCATATTACCTTTCATATTCCCATGCATGGACCAACATACATCCATGCACCATCATTTCACTTCTCTCTCTCCCCTCTCTTCTTACCTTCGGGCGAGAAGAGACACACACAAACACACATTGCACAAATTCTCTCCATTTCTCTCAAAGATCATCTCCCTTCTTCCTTCAAAGAAAATCTTGAAAATTTAGCTTCGATTCAAGGATCTTCTTCAAGTGTTGTCAATCTTTGGTAAGTGTTATCAAACACAAACATCTTCTTCCATTACAACATTTAGAACTATTTCTTGCAAAGTTTGATTCCATAAACACCTTAGAAGCTTCTTAAGTTCGAAATCAACATAAGAAAGCTTTCTAAGGCCAAAAATAGCATCAAACTCTTTCATTTCTTTCTTCAAACTGAAACAACAAGCAAAGTTGATTTCAAACCTCTCTATTTTCGGTTTTCACATGTTTTATCGGGGAGAATACAAGTAAAATGTGTAGATCTATGTGTATTTGACTATTTCTATATTATGTGTGATTTCTTGTGTTTATGTGGTAAATATGTGCGAAAAATGAAAGATATTTCAAGATCTATAGTTCAAGGAGGAAAAATATGTGATCTAGAATGTATTACACTTAACAAGTTAAGAAAAATTATCATCTAAGGTTATAATAAGCATGTTACACCATAAAACTCATTTTTGACTATTTTTGTCAAATAAACAAAAGTTGGGGAAAAGGTTGTCATTTATAGCTTTTACAAGGATCAAAAGGGTCAAAAAAGTTAAAGAAGAAGTTTTTATGAACATTATGCTTTTCAAAGGACTAAAAATGTAAATTGTAGCTTATTGGGCTAAAATTTTGGGCTTTTCGACCCATAGGCCCAAATTTGCGAAAAATATGGGTTTGAAGGGGCTGAAATGGTAAATTTCTCAAAACAGTGGGTAGAAAAGTAAATAAATCTATTTCAGGGGTTAAAATGACCTTATTTGCCAAAAAGGATTAAAAATGTAAAGTTTTTGGATTTTGGGTCAAATTTGTAAAAGTTGCGAAAAGTTTGGATATTAAATGAAAATCTTTTTACTAAAGGGGTTGAAACTGCCAAAAAGTAAACATTGGGCTGAAAACATTATTTAAATAAGTCCTTGGACCAAAATGTCAAGAAAAATAGTTTAAGGACCTAAAATGTCATTTTTTTACAAAAAGGGGCTAAAATTTCATTTTTATTAAAGAATGGCTGAATAGGTCAAACCAATATTTTTGAGTCAATTATTTTATTATTAAGATATTAGGTCACAAATACCAAATTATAACTTATAAATTTACAATGAAAAATATACATATATTTAAATATCGTTATAAAACAATCGACAAACTTCGTGCCTTTGCGATTTAACAATTGTTCAATCAGACTTTCCGACAATTATATTATACCTAAAACAAGTAAATATTCAAATTTTTGTGCTTGAAAGATTCTAATCATGCTTATTGGGCCTTTGTGACCTGATGTGCACAAAAGTACCCACTAATTTTAATATTTATAACCTAACAAACTAAGACTAACTATGCACTTATAGGCAGTGTACCTAGTCAGATTACAATATAGCTTAGGTAAGTCGGGTGTCGATCACAAGGAACGGTGTACTAATTAATCTACTTACTATTAAATTAACCTAATTTATTAACAAATTTAATAAAGGGTTTTATCTGGTTTTGCAAGATCAAATGAACTTAAATCAAATTTAATAAAAACACACTCTTGCTTAGTTGAATCCACTTCTTCCTTATGGCTAGCTAATGATTATGGGTTATTAAGTTGGTTTTTAGTTATATTAGTAATTTAGTTCTATCTTACCAATAAGTAACTAATTCATGTCAAACCATGTATGTTCACACATAATTAAACACAGAACTAATTATGAATGTAGATATGCTATGTAGGATTTGTTGTATAAACGCAATTATGGTCACAATTCACGTTCTCTAGCACAACTAAGATTTATTCAGTCTAATTACTAACTAAGATTGGTCAATCCTAGCTCTAACAATTTAATGTTCACTAAATTATTAGGTAAACAAGTTCATGCAGTTTCATGGTCACTAAGCTACACAGAACATGCAAT